GGTGTCCTGGATAATTGCTGCCCTTATTTGCTGTTTTTCTCCGCGAGCAAATCAGTAAAGGATCTCAGTTCTTTAGACAGTGGACAAGAGTGCAGGATTATTGTACTCTGAGGAATACAAAGGTGGATTTATTCAAGGACACAGTGAGAAATCCTGAGCCAAAATGGGCATGAAAATTTGTGGACCGAAGCTGTCGGCTTGCTGCTCTGTGATCAGTACATGGGGAGTCATCATGCTGGTTAGTCATTTTGCCAAGATTTTGTGCTCATTTGTCTCATATCTACGTAAAAACAACAGTATGTGGTAACTAAATGTGGTATTTAGATGCAACTGTTGGTTTGATACATGTACTGTTGGCCATGTTGGCTGTGCATCCTTATTGTATGCTGCATGAAAAGTACATTGTTTTCGATAAAATTTGTTTTAGGCCTACCCCTTGTGCTCAATTTATTGAAGGCATTTCTTGTTAGGCGTAAAGAATGTTCTTTCATTTTCATTTGTCTCGGTAAATGTGTTGGCCCTATTCATTCTTAGTAGACTGCTATTTACACATGTATTTTCACAAAGATCTTGTGATAATATCTGAATATTGCACCAACATGACAAACGAGGTATACATTTTGTACATTGTACATTTGTCCCAATTTTACTGGACGGTTGTAGGCTATACCTTTTTTAAAAGGTTGCCAAAGAACTGATACAGTACAGACCTGTCCCCTCTTGATTTTTTGATGTTATTTTCCTAAAAACTTTGCTTACAAGTACAAATGTCATTTGAATCAGATTGACTTTTGTTGATTTTGAAAAGTTCCATAACATGTCATGGTAAACTACTCCCTTTGTCCTGTTATTGCTCGTACATGTAGGTCCTAATGGGTGTCTTCTTCCGAGTCAACTCTGTCGCGTTGTTTGAAGACCTCACACTTGAAAGCAACAAGACCCTCACGAGAGCAGAGCTTGAAGAGGCTTATACTGAGGTTTCCAATAACTGTTTCATTGCTGCCGGTCTCTATGTACTATGGCTTTTCTTCTCCGTCTGGCAGATGCATGTCAACAGCAAGGAGCAATATAATGTCAGCTAAAAACAGACACTCCTCTTGAATATGGTACTACCGCTATCGGGTCACACTGACTGATTTCTCGATTATTCGTCCAGAGAAAACAGCCAGTGTAGAAAAGGGGGCAGGGCATGCATTGAAGATAAGGGATGGATTGATGTTTTCTCTAGTCTGATAATAAGTGGAGATTGTGTACATCTATAGGCACATGTGTGTACCAATATATTCAGTCATGTCATGTATAAATTCAGGTCTTTATAACCAAGAAGAAATTGGTCATGCACCTGGGCCGACTTGTACTTGAATTGGCACATGTACATGTACACGGGTCAGCGTCATTCTATACTGTACCTTTAGGATCATTGTCACATCTAGCCAAAGACTGAAGAGTTACATTCACAGTGAACATACAGCAGACAGGCAGTCTGGTAGATGGAAGACTGAAAATTATCCCTGTGCAGGCAGATGAAGGCGAACATGGATGCATAGGGGAACTTTAGGAAAGGCTGTCGTATACTAGCACCTACCTGTCCATGTAGAGTGTGTACTAATAGATTTCTGTCCACGTGAAGGGCAATATTTGTGCAGAAAGTTTTTCTACATATGTACATGTGCATATCAAAAAAGTGTACTGTTTTGTTCACAAGGGTCAATCTGTGTTTTTTTGTCTCCCCGTTACACCCGGCCCGAATGATTAGGCTTCGAAAATTCCCCTGAAATTAACATCACATTGCTTTCATTTGATTTGCATGTATTTTGCATTAATAACATACATATGTAATCAATCTTGAAAATTTAACAATGTGATTTAAAGTTAGAAAATCATATGCCAGATATGACACAGAGGCAGAAATATTGGACCCCAAATTTATAGAATTTCCCAGTTTAATAGAGATTTCTACATCTGCAGCAAACTCTGCTGTATTCTGGATTGAAAGATAGGTGTGATTTGTTATGCTCAAGTTATGGTGAACTTAAATATGCAGTATTACAATGTATGAGAATACTGCTTATGATGGGTAAAGTGAAGTAAAAGTTCGCTATATGCCAGTGATATTAAAAATAAAAATACATGTATATACATGTAAATTGAAAATGGAGACTGTGTGGCGATGTAATATACACGTAATATGTACAAAATGTAAGCGTGATCTATATGTGGTTGTAGGGGTAATTGAGTTGAAAGTACAGTACATGTAAATGTATACGTAATGACCCTACATGTACGTGTGCGTCCGTTATTCGGTACGTGGAATATTGAATCACGTGTGGTGCAGGTGATATATTTTTTAGCGTAGGATAACTTTCTTGATAAAGGAAACAGATACAACTGTTGGCTTTCTCTTGCTGTCTTGTGGAACTTGTATTGACCAATAGAAGGTTAGATATTTGTATATTGCAATTTCAGAGGATGAAATTGTATCCCTAATCCTGTTTGAATGATTAAAGAGAATCCAATCAAATTGCTCTACACTGTACATCAGAAAACTGTAGCCAACACCTCCCGAAGATGTGTGTAGTACTCCAGCCTCCAGGCCTTGAAGTTGGCCATGATCCAATACTCAGATCAGTCATATTGTCAGAACTGATCCCATCATTCGTTGATTAAATACAGCGGCCCTGGATGTAAAGTCTGTGAACAATTTGAAGATGTTCCGTTCGGCGTTATCATGTCATCAGGAAATGACCAAATGTGTAGTCTGTCATTTCCTACATGTATGACCGGTTTCAAATCCTTTACCATGGTCTACTATTTTAATTGTACACGCATGTGGTTAGTTCGGGAATGATTCATGATTGTTGCTAAGACAGTTTGCCTGAAAAGATTACATTCACGTACATGTACAGTACATGTAATGTACATTTCTTTGACAAGCGTTACTCCACATGTATTTATGTCATAAATTTTTGATTTTTTTGAAGTTACATGCAACACAACTGTGAGAATTCAGTATGCATATAGTGTAATTCGACTGGCAGAATTAGAAGCCATTACTGCAGTAGCACAACGCTCGTGCACAGGTGGTACGCGCGCGTTGGCATGCCCCTTCGACCAATAGGGTGCCGTGATTTACCAAATGCACGCGCGCGTCAAGCTGAAGAATGTGCGTTTTAGTACGGTGCCACCGCAGTTATGGCGTCAAATTGGGTTAGTCTATAGGATAACATGTATATATGATAGTAAAGGTACTAGTTTATTGTAATTTGTACAAGTCACCTGTGGAATAAGAGCGGTCCCTTATCAATTGACGCATTTTTTGCTGTTGTAGTTTATTTTAATCCACTAATTTAAATGAAATGTCTCTTTTGTTGACAGCTTTCTACTCAAGTTATGTGTTAATGATTTTCAGTGTCGTAAGTGTGGAATCGTTGTCGCATTTATGGTAACATCTGATTTTAATTATTTACCAGAATGTGTAGGAAATAAACAACTCTGTTTTTGGACTATCCTTTTCCAGTATTCTTTCCATGCTGACCGCTGACACAGATTTGAGTGTTGTGTCCGGATGAGGATTTGAAGCTTCCTTTCGGCTACTCTTTGGAGCCTAAATAGGGCCATAATGAATATGCTTATATTTGCAACGTCTGGGCACCCTTATGAATATAATTGACTCATCGCATTATCTCTGAGACTGAATTTAGAGCATGACTTAACTGAGGAGCAGACTTCATAGAACAAGGCCGCGGATGTGTTTTTATCATCAGTCTATTAGCGATATGGCAATTAGTCTGGAGGAAAGTGCTTTGGAATTTCCGCGATTGCCCAGCATTTATAGTGCACGACGCCAGTCGCACTGTGATGCATGAGATACTTGATAACGTCAGAAAAATGCATATTCATTACTCTGTAGTTGTGCTCCTGAGGACGTTATTCCTCCATGCTCAGACGTAGCCGTAGACTAAAACAAAATGGTTGTCATATATGGCTTCACACATTGTTCATCGTGTAGCTCTTATTAAGAGAGCATGACTTCTCATCGTTATGGTTAGTTCGCCCTCCCAAACGTTGGCAACTTGACATCATCTCAGTCATATGTAGATCGTTTAGCTTTCTTCATGCCGCAATTATGGTTTCAGGCACTACTCTCTGTCACCAGAGTGAAGACAGGTAGCGGACGTGTCGCTTTTCTTGGAGCCTCAGTTTCTCCTTCAGACTCTTGTATTCATCCGCGCTGTACTGCCGTCTCAGAACCTGTAACTTTTGGAGGGATAAGAGAGGATGTACAGATATTTCTTATTTCAGGTAAAAGTATTCAGCGGTACGATGCTGAGACGATGTCGTGTAACTGCAGCGCCTTGTATAATTCTTCTGTTTCTGTAAGATTATTATTTTAGTGAAACGTTCTCCTTGTTAAATTGAAAGCAGAAATTCTCAAGTTCAGTTTAATCTCCTTGGACCCATTCGCTTCCCATGTCCGAGAATTCACTATAAATCAGCGTGAACTGCATTTTGTTCCGCGAAAACTTGACCTCCAAACCAAAATATGTTGACCGGCGGGTACTCATAGTTGGACATAATGTTCAGTGGTCATTGTTGGTGTTAATTTCATTGTCTCTTTTACATAGTTTTTTTGTGAAGGAAATGCTGTGTTGCACTGCATTGTGGGAAGCCTGGTTTGCCATAATTAGTCTGCGTGCGAATGAACTTGGCATACTGTAGGCTTAAGACAAGACATACGCCCACAGAAGCCAGGCTCGCGACTTCAGATACGTCCGATCCGCGTCGACGCATATGTTGCTCTTCACCAGCAAACATAGCGCAACCTGTAAATTTTGTTCGAGCAGCAAGCCAGTTTAGGAATAATATTTTATCGGATGACGCCTCGTAAATATTCAAGGTTCCCTTGAACAAGGTGGTTGACATGTTAGAAGAAGCGAACGAAAAGTTGATGTGCTTGTAAGACTTACTTCTGTTAATCCCTCGAGTCCGACCGTATCGTAGTCCACTGTTGGAGCAGATCTCACCCATCGATCTATAAGCGAGGACTGGCTTGTTTGCCTCGCTCGGAGGTACCGGTTATGGAGATGTAGATAACTTGGGATGATACCAGGTGCATTCAAGGGATGTTGCCTGAAACCAAGAATTGGTAGATTATTTTTTTTTCATTCGACAATCAAGATGTGCAAAATTCATGAGATACAAATTTGACATCAAATAGATAAGGGACACTGTTCACAAAAAATAGTCCGTTAGTGTTTTGTTTTGTCTTCAGGGTTAGAAGTTTCTGTATATTTTCAATGGAAATTGCTTGATAACAGTTCTTTGACAACATGTTTGTTCATCATGTTTCATGCCTACCTAGTAACCGTCGCTTTGTGCTGTGCTGCCCCCTTTTCAAACGTAATACGCTTTGACGACGACTGTTGCATGCTATTACACATTTCACGCCCTCTTGCAGCTGATTTGATTGCTTGTAGTCGTGAGGACTCGTTTTGAACTATCTGTTCTTCTGGATTTGTGACAGCAGTGGCAAGTGTTTTTTGTTCCACAGTTGTGTTTAAGATTCTGTTGACCTGAAATGTCGCAGGCAAAACAGTTCTTTGTTTTCGGGTCTCGGTGTTTCTGTCGTTGCGTTCACTGTTGTCATCAGAAGTGGCAGGAATCTTGGGTAGATTCAGATTTGGAAGTTTTGTATTCTGTTGGTTCTCCTCCACCACGATGTTTCCATCGCCGCCATTTTCTCTCTGTTCCCGCCTTTCTTTCCTCCGCCGAAGCTTTTCATCCAATCGTTTTGTTCGATAATATAGCGACCCTGGTCCTAAGCTGTCGATGATTGGTCCTCGCTGGGTCATCCAAAGGTCATAGCGCGTGTCTTCTTGAATCGAAATCAGCGGTTCGTTTTCATCTAGGGAGATTTTCTTCAGAAGAGCGTCCAACACGGATGTCTGTTGATTCAGAGGATTAATGTTAAGTAACAATTTTAAAACTATTTACGTACATGTATGTTGCATTTTTATTTTAAAAGCTAGCCTAAACATACCCAGAGTGTAATATATTCTCTTCTTACCAGGCCTTCATTTTGTGCTCTCAAAGCGCGTGCGATAAGTTTCATCTTGGTTTCCATTCGCAGTTGGTCCAATGTCATCGGATTCTTCTTAGTTATCAACTTGTGAAAGTTGTCTAAATCGAGTTCAAATGCCTCCAAAGCTCCCAAACACGTGACAGTCTGCGCATGGTCACTGAGGTCGCAACAAATTTCTATGTCCCCTGCATCACAAAAGAATATAAAAGAAAACGTTCTGGCCTAGAACAGCGGCTAACTTTTACACGTCCCATTTTTGTGTATTTTGGTCATTGTGTCTGAATTACATTTAAAGGCAGCATGCCGACTTAATTTCTAATAGCCCATTTTATGTATAAGTACACCGATTTATGTATTGAAAGTGTGAAAGAAAAGTGAGAACAATTTGTGTCCCTTGGTTGTGTATTTATTTCTCCTCCCCAAAATGCCCCCCCCCCTTGTAGCTTCGGTTGTTGTTCAAATTCCGTTACCCAAACAGAGACACTGGAAAACAGTGATGCCAAATGACGTCTGGGCACCAGACGAATCGACAGTGCCGCAGCACTGCGTATGGTTTAACGAGAGCATGATCAATACACGCATGCGCGAGGTCTGTCCTATCAGTGCAGCCACACTGGGTGCGTTCGGGCGAGCTACTCGCGTTAACACGTGCATACTCCTGAACATTCGAACAGCTGGAGTACGACCCAGGGTCAGCGAGAGTAAACTCTTGCTAGAGGAGGAGTACATACTCCTGTACCCGAGTGTAATGCGCACGCATCCTACTCGTGTTAACAGGAGTAACTGCGCAAACGCACCCACGCCGACAACACACGCACGTTATTCACGATTGACCTTCCCTGGAGATCGCGTCCGAATCTGTTGTTTAGAGCTAGGTCTAGGTCTTTACTCCATTGGCAATACGCGAAGACGCGCAGACAATAGACCTATCCGTAGCTCAGGAAGCCCATTTCCTACACAGCCTGAGTTTTGAAATAGGCCTACACATTTCATCAGGTTTCTGTCGGCTTACCTATCATATCCCCGGGGCCGATGGAATAAACGTCAAAATTCATGTTGTACGGGGCAATCTTTGCTTTAGCGGCAATGTCGTTGGGCGCGTCGCTTGTGTCGTGTGTCGGCTTTGGTAGTTTCCTATAACAGTCGATTCATTAAAGTCGATCAAAATTGATACATAAATTGAAATTTCTATTCGATCTACCATAGCATCGTCATTCTCACGCTCAAAAAGTGAAGATTCTGGTAACAATTAAACTGATGTTACGGGAACAAGAAAAGAGCTTTAAAACCGACTGATTATGATTGTTGGTCACATCATGATTTGAAAATTTTTATCAGCATATCTTATAAACTGTACAGAAATATTTTCTACTGATAACATGTATATTGAGTATTGATTAGTGGGTGAACTGGTAGATAAGAAAATGCATTTTCTGATTACGAATTTATTCTCTCTTTTGTTTTTTTTTCTTACCTGTTCAAAAGTTGGCGATGAGGTTGTTTCCATGGAGCAATGGAAACCTTTGCTTGACCTCTTAGAACAAAGAGGACACCCGATACTGGACACCCCTGCTGGGCGAGTCGATTACCAAACAGCGCCCTCTTGCGAGTCAGACTCATAGCGAGGACTGATTTGTGACGAGATTTCCAGGCCCTGAGAAAGTGAGTGACACATTTTGCAATAAAATCTGACATTTTGAGATTTTCGTTTCTGCATGTCACAGGAAATCTCAATACATTCGTCAAGAATATGGCAAGTTATTACCTTGAGGGGTTTTGCAGAACTGAACCATGCTCCATATTTATCAGTACATTTTTTACTGGCTTCAAATGTTGGAATGTGAAATCTATATTTATATCAGATTATGTCTCATCCGCTTATTTTAGCAGCAAATAGGGCAATGCAATAACATGATATTCTGAATTATTGATATTGTAAGAAACTCCAACCATTTCCCTCAATAAAATAAACTATGTAGTTAGAAAGGGTAAAAATGCTAGAGAAAATGGAATTTATACTTGAATAGTGGATGATCATTGACAAAATCTGTCTTCTCTTCCAGATCTCGTTTTTGGGCGAACTTCAGTGATCTGCTGTACAAATCCCGATCGACCACGATGAAATCCGAAGGCTCGTTGGCGACTACCGAAGCTTTCCGAACACTTCCGGAATCTATCAGCGCCAATTCACCAAAGCTGGATCCCGGGCCTGTGGAAGGTCCATCCGTTAGTAGGAAGACAAAGAACTCAAAGAGTGCCTGAAATGATGTGATGGCAATGTTGACGGAGTTTCTAACAGTGGTGATGAGGATTTGGTTTAAAAAATGATACTATATCCCAATCTGGTAAGCTCTAGCCATTTCTCAGGTGGAGAAGCACAGAAAAACCCAGTTCGGTATTCGGGAAACGCATGCCCAAATGAAGCGCGCATGGTCCGAGGTCATTTGGGAACAGCAAGTCACACCGTACGCGAGGTCTCCCTATCGGCACGGCCATGCATGTGAATACTTTGTCCTTTTCAAAATATCGAACTGGCTTAGTGCGCCCTCAAGTTCCTTTACCCCTGTTCTCTGAAATAAAAACAGGTACAAATAGAGAAAAGAATAGAAAATAACTAACGTAAGAGCCCCAATACCATTGGAAAGGATGTATGACATGGGAAATGCTTCATGACAGTTTCCACTTGTCCGAAAAATGAGACATCACCCCCCCCGAAATAATTCTTGGATCCACCCCTGGGCCGTTTTCCAATATTCAACTTCGGCTCCGTCTCAGGCTTCAACTGTTGTTTACTAGCTGACTTTGAAGCTGTAAGCGCACTAATTAGGCCACAAAACATCAAATAAGATGCAAGAGAGCCAAAAATTACAGTAATCCAATGTAATTTAAACGCTTATGGCCCACAACCGGGAATTGGTTTTGGGAACGAAGCCTGAGACGGAGACAAATTGGAAAATGGCCCTGGAGACTTCAGCAACATGACATTCGTCCGTAACGTACCCAGGGTTCTGACGCATACCCCTAGCTCCTCCATTGCATGCCGTGGTGCATTCTGGGTCTCAGTGAAGACAGGCGTGGATTCATCCTCGTCCCCATCCGCGTCCGCATCCGAAGCAATGTAAACAGATATCGAGCCATTCAGGACAACGAAGAAACTAAAATGTAAATCAGAAAGGGGTTTCAAAGTTAATGGAATAATATTGGAGGTGACCACCGTGAGAAACTCCGTACATTAGTGTTGTAACCCCCCCCCCGAAAAATGAAGAGGGAAAATGCTCAACAGAAAAATGGCAAAGTAACAAAATCTACCAGTCTATCAACTGGTTGATAAGCTCGTTGCTGATGAGTATTATCCCACCTCAAATCCTGGCAAAATCCCTCCCAAGAAAAAGAGATGCTTTCCCGGGGAAAAAAATCCCGTGAACGCCCGTATACGTATCATTTCAAAATCAGACAGGATTTTGAATTCAGACGAGACGTATCGGTATCTATAAGGTGAACAGACCTTGTTCTGGAAACCTTTTAAATCTTGTGACATTTAAACATAAAATTGAATATGCTTCTGAGCTACATTGATATTAGTTATATTGCTTTTTGGAAGGGGAGATGGAAGCAGATGTTCTCAAATTTGAAAGTGATGTATTGAATCTTAAAATCGCTTTATGAAATTTGACTGATTATCTTCTGGTGATTAGACCAGTAAGGCTAGTTTTAATAGGAATTTCTAAATTGTTTGCTGAAGCAAGACGATTATGTACCACTCATTGCTCTTCCTTACCTATGTCCCTTATCTCCTTGTCTTAGAATGACGTCATCGGCCTTGTGTCTACGAAATTCGCAGTTTTTTATTATATCTCTGATGACATCTGTTTACATAGAGAGAGTGAAAGAAAGTTATTTCCATTCGCAGTTAGGCATACTATGGATTCATTTGTTTGCGTGGGGGGCATCTCACAGGGGCTGGGGGTTCGTCCATCCCTAGGATCTCAGATCTCTTCACTCTCAATTAATTAATTCAGTGGAACAGAGTTATGATCGTTTATGATCATTCAAACACTCACGCCTGGTTTAGCTCACTTGTGATCAGAGCATGCACCAATGACAAGCGTTCATGTCATTGACAACAAAATAGGAAAGGCTTTTTACAAGAAGGGTAGGCGTAACATCATAATCTGTTTTCAGGTTAAGTGGTACAGAAATAAAAGTTAAATTGTACCATTTCCCATGGAGATGAACAGCTCAGCTTTGCGTCGAAACCACGGTAGGAGTATGTCAATATCCATATCGTCTCGATCGGCAGGAGCGGCTGATATGACCTCTACTACTTTCTCGTACATATTCGCCATGGCGATCACCTTGAACAGAAATTCGCAGTGATAAAAATAAATAAAGTAAATTCAATGAAGTCGATGAAGTGTTTACTTCGATGCGCAGGAACGACGCACCAATCACAGTGCATGATCGGGACATATTTAAGGAGCCCTGCATCCTACCGAAACCACGCCCCTGAAATGACTGCACACAAAGATATCTTATTCTGTTCAGTACGCCGTTACCAGCGCTTAACGAGAGTGCGGTGACCCCATGCTTGCACTTGCCTATGCCGATTTATAGGCACACTGACACACCAAGACAAATTTTGTTTCCAAAGGGTAGCACATAAAAACAGCGATCAATGAATGTTGTAGAGATCAAGATGTGGCCTCAAAGGGCGCCCTCCCCCTTAAATTCTATAATTGATGAATAGTTTGGGTCAATCACTAGGCCTACACTAACACAATAAACTAACAGCCTCTGTTAAGCGAATAACAATTGATCTTGTTTCTTGAGGCTGTCTTACGATTAAAAAGCCCGTTATTTCAGCGCACACAATCTCCCAGAACTTTCGGTAACACCTTCAATGACATACGGGGCAACTTTGGCAGGCGTTCGTCTGTCTAGTCTAAAGCCTTCGGGATAGATTTATATCGGACATCAATATTTATTGATCGACTTGTGAACAGCAACTGCTATCGCGGTGTTGTAAGTAACTTGTAGTCCGGGACACCATATTGATGAACAAGATAATGGCGATGTCACAGTTACAAACGACAAAGAATCGGAATAAGCGAAAACGATGGGAATTTCTGAGAACATAGCTGAAAGGAGAAAATAACCGTTGGAAAAGTCAATCAACTAATTTCATAGCGGTCACGAAAAATGTTCCTGATCTGAAATGTATAATTATATGTCGAAGACGTTACTTCTTTCGTTACAACGTAACGTGGCTATGAAATGAGCAGAGAGACATTCATGAGGAGTACATAAATATTTAAATGTCTACAATTCAGTCCATAAAAAAGGATTTGTATTTCTCTGGAATTCATTCACGCCCTCTTAATTTTGTCGACAATTGGAATTATTTGAATTGCTCTCCGTGTGCAATTGGATATTTCGAAGAAATCATTGGTCAACATTGAAGAAACTCTGTCTTTTTAGAATAATCGTGAACAACAGTAGGGCCAAAACTCTGCAGGGCTAGGTACGAATGTTCAGAATGTGCAACGTGGGAGGGATCTTTGAAATATGGGGCGGGAAATGAGGATTTAATGAAAATATCAACAGCAACTGACTTTTTAAAATTACATTTAACATGTAACATTTTAGTGCCGGCGTTCAACAACATCATCTTTGCTTACTGTGTTCAAATGGTCATTATTTGACCGTTTCACAATCGAAATGAAGCTTTCTAGAAAAGTTCACAAATTGGCAACAGAACAATACAGATGAGAGCGGCCGGTGAGGCCTTACCCTGCGTTTGTTTTGGTGCATAATCAGTATTTCCGAGGTTCTTAAAATTAACCCACACGTGGCACGTCTGGTGTACGAGATATTGTGAAAAATTAACACAACTCAAAAACCTACCTTGGCAGTGTTTCACAGTCTCATTTTACTCTTTAGTAGAATCTTATCATCACTGTAATCTTGCCACGATCACGCTGGGTCAAAAGCTGGATGTGGTATGTACAGACTGTTACATTTCTACAAAACTGCATTGGCCGAGTGCATGTGACACTTTGCTTCAAGATCTCTGTGTGTGGGACGAATGCACGTCTACAATACGCCGCATGGAGTGGAAATCCTCCGTGAAATCTCCATTTTAAGACCCGAAGCTCTTCCAGCAGCTAGAAATGAACATTCAAAAATCGAGGTGCAAATTCACAAGGGAATCCGACGCGCTGTGCTCGCACTGGTGATTAGAAGTAGCCAACGTCCTGTTCTTGGTTACGAGTTGCGCATTGATGGCTCACGCTGAAAATGCCTGGAGGTGTATTTCGTCCTCGGTGTGGGGTTGGCGTTTGGGCGAGTATGAGGGCGAACTGAGTCTTCCAGACTCAGATAATACGAAGCCAGGGTTGAATTCCAGAGCATCGATCTCGAAGATGACAGCGCCACTCATCAAGGTAGGCTTCATGGACTGGGTATTAAACACTGTACATTTTCTCGTTGCTCCAAGCTCCGTCAAATTAATTATTACCCCGGTATGGGGATCATAGTCACCAGAGAGACGGCAAATAAAACAGGCCCCACACACAGATAAAATTTAGTGAGAGAGGACAGCAAAGTCATTGATAGTATTTGTATTGCGATAATAATACGTGTGCCCTGTATTTGTCCACGGAAACCTTACGTAACCCAAGACAACGTAAAGGTAATTTCACTAAACCACGATCATTAACAAATGGAACAGTGATAAGATATCAAGCGCCGGTTAACATTACATTTGGGGAGAAATCTCAAGACATGATCAGTTCTGAGGTTTGTTTGTGGACACTACAAAATCGCATTTTCTCGCATGTCAACAACTTCCGACATATGCATATCAATGATTTTAATAAAGAAAACACACGCAATAACGTTCAAAACCTGTCCAGTCCAATCGAGTATAGCCTTACCAATGCTCGTCATTTTATAAATTAACTTTGCATGATGATTCCATGAATTAAGCCTCTTGAATGTGACAGACAATTGAAACTACTGTCCAGATTTTGTACATCTCCCAAAAAGGTCAGTCCCCAATAACTATATACGCAAAAATAAAAACACCTTTTTCTGGGGGGGAGGCATTGAGTTCTACAAGTATACCGACTCATCAATGTGTCAGTTTTATTAGTGAAGGTCCAACCAATCACAACATGCAACATCCTTGACATGCGTCTTGTTCCACGGACCTCCAATTACATTACCAAATACATAGTTATTGCTGGTAGTGGAACCATTCGAGGGGCCAGGGTGACACCTTCACTTGGGGTTGATGGCTCAGACGCAGCCTGTCCTAGATTGGAGACAGGTCCTCCGTTACAGAGGTTCTCGCTGCAACACGACGCACAACCATCGAAGGGTGGTGGATGGCAGCCCGGAGAACACTGCAGCTGGCCAGTGACGGGTGCACAGCTACGACCCACTTGGGTGACTCCGCTATCATTGCGCTTCACGACCTAGAGGAGAGTCCACTAGGGATGTCACCATTTTTAGTCATCTGAGATCTCACATTTCAGGCTATTAATTAATATCAGCGACTGAGGTGTTCCTCAATGCTTCTTAAACTGGGTTTCAACACTGTTACCATTAGTGACGTCATCAACAGTTTGACAGTAAACTATCAGTTTCAGTAAAGGTAAATGAATGCACGCATCTTATTTCTTTTTCAAATCACCGAACACAGGCAGTCATTTTAAGCCAATGCAAAGGCTGTGAAATAAATTGCATGTACATGTAGTTACATTTCCTATGAACATTTGTTATGCAAAATCTTCACACGAACCCAACATAGTTTATGAATATTTAGTTAATTAACTCCAGTCAACTTTGTGGTTAAAGAGAGCTCCCGTTTTTTGGACACACTGTGATGTGAAGCAGCCCTACCCGATGTGTGATGAATAGCCTGTCACTTTTGAGATTGAATTGAAAAGCCTATGTCTCTGGATTTTTCAGTGACCTATGTCCACAACATAAAGCATGGCTGTACGTATGTTTAACCTTGTCCTTCCCCTTTGCGATTGTTTTACACAGCACTCACCCCCAGGTCAGGGATGTCCCATGTATGGTAATAAAACGCACCATTGAGGAATGCATGTTATGTCCATTCGTAAAGTTTGTGGGGTGTAACGAATCACTTTTTCTATTGTTATAAATACTCTTTAATTGTGTAGTCCCTTTTACTCCGTCAATCTAAATATCATTTTGTCTAATAAATTCGTCAATCTGTCCCTTTCAGTAGAGGAACGAGACCCAACAACCTTGGGTAGAAGTTTAATTTTCAATTTTTATATTTCACATTCAAGAAAGGTATTTTGCTATTTCATCATGTCAAACTTAGAAATTCATAACGAAATGTATTAATGAAAGCAATTTCGACAGTCACTCTATCTAACATACAAATTATTGAAAATACCGATGCCAGTAATATGTAATATTGTCAGAACAACTCTTTGTATTAAAGATAAATTCAAATAAATATAATAACGTTACTGCAGATACAATACAATCTCTCACAATTTACAGTCACTCATGTACAGTCGGATGAACCATGCCACTTTTGTAAATCTTGAATTAATTTCTTGTTGATTCTCTTTCGATATCAAAAGGTTCGAAATGGCTGTACGTGTAGCTAATCAAAAGGATTTCTTGTAGTGCCAACACAGGGACTTCTTTTTATTGGTTATTGAGAAAAAAGTCAAAACCTGCAGGACTTTTAATTCATTCAACTGATTTGTTCAACAGCTGTTACTGACTTTATATTCAAAACTGTTTCAATCACTGATGTAAATCTAAAAGAAAGGCATTATTATACAATGTATTGCTTGGAAACTGGTTTGTTGTTGGGCAAGACTGTTTACTCGAGCATTCATTTATGTCCACACTGATATTTATTCCAAACATTTCGATTCCAAATGGCAGGTATTACGATTAACATGCTTTTAAATGTAAGATAAAATACTTTTATGATCTATACTAGAAGACTTAGTTATAACAATACACATTTTTCTAGTGACAAAACGTCCTGAAAAAACCCAACGCCCCTATAGAAACAAACAGGGCATTATTACAGGATTCTTGATTCTAGAAGTAGCAAGTTGTAGCGCTCGGCACTCTAGCTCTCTAGTTTTACACGTACATACGGAAAAGCTTATGAGATTTGTTTTGAACAGCCCCGCAAAAACTATCGAGATGGCTTACGAGGATGGAGACAATGGAAAGTTTTGCAAAATTAACATTAATAATTTTCCATGAAAGAAATTCTTTTTAAAGGAAAAAACGTTAGCCGGGTTGTACCGTTCCTGGAGTTCGAGTAGCCGACCCATGAACAACAAATCGAGCTGTTCGTGAACATACAAGGACAAGCCGTCCAAACTCAGCCAAAGTGTTTTCAAACACGCGTAGCTATTTGAATGACAGTCGTTTTACACATAATCTGCTAATGAGCCCTCTGTTGAAATTAGCTTGTTCAGTTGTAATCATCAACGGTATATTTGTTTCTTGGTTTGCATTTTTCATTCCTTTTCTATTTTACTATTCCATTCCATTCTTATTTTAGTTTATTAGATTTCATTGGGAACTGGCACGAAATTTCCAACCACAGCAAGCACCTCAAGGCACTTTGTTTTCCCTGAACAAATCCATTTTTCCAAAAGCACAAGTCTTATTAAATCGGCCGCGTGTGCGAGATCTACCCTATCAAAGCGGCTCTGCGCCAGTATTAGTGCACGTGCTTTATTCCCGAATAACCTTTTGCTTTTTTGAAATGCCCAACTGTGTCATTCGAAATAAGCAAAATGGCGGATACAAGGCCCTCGAACTTCGAAGTACTGTGTTTGGTTCCACCCTTTAATAAAATAAAGCCACTGCAACCTATAGTCACCAATAGGAAGAAAACTGAGACAAAGATGTAATCGTGACGAATGTTTATTTTTCTCACAATAATGAAATCATATCTGAGTAAAATAATGCGCTTCCGAGTACAAAATATCCATTTAAACGGATGTACAAAAACCTGAAACGCAGGGACGGATTCGGATGATAAAGAACAAACACACAAATTCGTTGAAGATTTTGAAAGTATCGTTTTACCAAACGGCATCTTTTTCTTTGAAATGTTGAATTTTTAAAATCCTGAACTATTTGAGAATGGAAAAGTCTATATACAAGTCTATGGGTATAAATAATAAATTTTCTGAATTACTGCGTGCTCTAAACAAGTAGGCATTGATTAATTAATTTTTATCATTATGTTGAGTGTGCAACCGATGCTAAATTTCTAGTAAGGATAAACCTTGTCTAAACCTTGTCTAATTTTAGACTTAACCGAGATCACTTCAGATCAGAAAAGAATCAGAAATTGAGATCAACAGCTTTCAAAGAACGAAACCTTTAAGAGGAAGACCCTAATCTATGCAAAAAACACGAAGAAGTAAAAAAAAGTCTTGAAAATAGAATTTAAATATTTACATAATAATTCTAGCCCTTACAACAGGCTTACTTCGGTTACCATAACTTGGTAACATTTTAGAAATTATGAACACATTGGCATTAACATTCCGAATTGCCTATTAGTACTTAGCATCAATTCCAAATTAAAAGTAAATTCTAACATAGAATACCTTTGTATCTGTACGCTTTGTTTTACAGGAAATTTGTTTTCAAAACAAATGGTTTCAAACCATTTATTAATGATAAGTCATGTGTGTTTCGCCAGCGAAATTTGAATAAAGAAAATTCTTTATAAATAGTTTCAAAAGATATAAGAAGCCTCCATGTACGCAAAAGGCATTTTTACATATCAGCTGGAAGTGCTGAACGATGCTCTACGACATTATAATAATAGACTAATTTGTGTAAAACATTTTAAAAGTGTTTTTAATATACAAAAGAATAAGTTACGTTGTAATTTCCATTCCGATAAATAAAAATACAGCAAAATACACTCACTTCAATAAATTTAATCACATGTGCTTACATACATAATACATCCATATATGGGACACAATTAATTTAACGCTTGAAAAGGGCAAACATGCGGACCTTGAGGCTGCAATTTAAAACTGTGAACAATGTAAATAATTTATGTGTCTGATGCACAGCTCGAGAAATTTAGACTTCTCTAGACTCGGGTATAATAACCCATTGGGTAGCCTCACCAAAAATTGCCAAGAAAATGAAAGATGCAGACAAAAGATATAATTTCATGTGTGCCCCGAGCACCTAGGAGACGTGTAAGTATTTTTTATCATTTTCTCTGAAGTGAAGATGTGTATGATCCTGTTCCTTGTTTACAATCATGCATACCGCCCTCTATCGTATCCAACTAAGATGACTCGGGTGTAAGTATGTACACTACTTGCTTTATGATTGCTTGATCATCGGGAACAAAACAGACCTCGACAGCACCTTGGTATCAGTCCGGTGACGTCATTGTTTGTAGCCTACCGCGTGACTCATAAAGTTTTGGGTCTCAGACAGGCACAGGCCACTGGGATGTCCTCATACACATTATGATACCTGTTGGAAACAGTGAGGTTATTGAATCTTTAGAAATTGTATAGTAATTCTTCCTTCGATTTTTCAATTCATTTAGGCGAAAGAAGGATGTAAAAGAATTTCTAATTTAGATAACATTTCTGTCTTTATGTTATCAAATAATTACACCAGTTGAAGACGGACTACAAGTAAAAAGTATGCTCCTAAAACAGAAGAGGTAAAAAAAAAAATCTGAATTTCTCGTGATCTGCTACTGTAAGCTATGAAGGAGTAAATAATCCTGGTCTGTTTAAATAATACTTATGAGTCAAATAAAAAAGATTACAAGAATTAATAAATGAATAATGAACTTTTACGAACAAATCCTGTCACTCATTCCCCTTTAAGTACATTTTAAATTGATCCATTTAGGATTCTATCAATTTTTTAATTTTGCAATTTATATATTTGTAATTTTAAGAATTTCAAGTTCTTCGGCTTGAGCAGATTATTTATTCATTTTATGTCATGTCAACATTTAGTGGAAGAACTTACATAAACATTCCGTTGACGCACGGCCCACGACGTAAAACCTTCATGCGAAACAACACCTGATGACAGTCATTCTCGTTAGAAAAAGCGCCCTCCTGTGCCAAAGATGTGTCAATGCATCTGGGACAGCGGCACTTTGCTATCTGTATAGTGCTCGGGTAACTGAAGGGAATGAAAAAAAAATTAATTCTCATAATTGTAATCAGTAGTTACAACAGCTACAAAAGGGTTCCCTACTTCAGGTTTGATCGCCAACACCAAAGGCTTTCTATGCTTTAACCCATCTGACGATAAATAGACGTGCATGGATTGAAAGAATTCAACCCTAAAAGAGCCGGGGCAGAGTTTACCCCGCCCCCTTGACATTTTCCCTATATCGCCGCAATTTTGTCATTAGTTGAGCCTAAGTAGTTTTTAGAGTGACTCCCTTCCAGGCATTTTGACACTTTTTGTACAAATTCGCTCATACCGTTCTCGCGCATCACGTGTTTTCCCGAGACGGTTCAGCCTAAACATTGCACTTTTGCCACTTTGGTGCTCAATGCACGCGTTCTGGCATACACGTAGCCTTGAAATTCAAAGGACCATAACAACTAAAATACACAGCCGATTATTTTCAAACTTCAAATTTGTAATGATGAGAAGTGTTTGTACAGGGCTGATTAGGTGTGAAAAAATCAGGTATGACACATCTAAGTTATTGGGGGCGGGATCCCCCCGGGCTGTGAGATTGATTAAAAAAAATGACTCTTTTAGGGTTAAAGTTTCGTCAAGATTTATCATCTCAGTCAACATTTGGGATTGAACTATGACTTCCGGAATTCTGCAGTATTTCGGCAACTCACCGATCAGGGTCGACATCGGCCACATACGTCCAGGGGCACAAACTCCTTCTGTTGACTTCAACAATACCACTGACCCGGAGTAACTCTACTGGGCATGTGAGATTTACATATTCCTCCCTTAAAGGTGGAGTTACTAGTGACTCCGCCTCATCTCGTGCAGCGACCTCTTGCGGCAAGATTGCGAGAGCAGGAAACTTGACATGCTGATTGTTTCTCTTGAAGTCTAGTCGTAGCTGGTTCTCAGGCGGTTCCTGACACCTGGTCATCTCGGCTTCACCCTGAGGTTCGCTGGTGCTCGCGCTATCGCTGTCCTGACTGCCGCTACCGTTTTCTTCAGTTGTTACTGCGCCGTCTCTCATTGTCGAGGTGGATGTGTCGACAGGGGTCGATGAAGTTGTCGGTACATTTGTCGAAGGTGTGGCTGGGTCGACTGTTATGGTGGTTGTCGCGTGGACTTCGACAAGCTGAGACTGAATATCTTGGATTTGAGGATCGTAGCCAAAACCGGCACCGCCGTCAACGTCTTCATACTCTGTCATGATGGCGCCTAAAATGTTATTAACCTCTGAAGGTTCATCCGACTCGTCTGAGATTGGAAGCTGATTGGGTGCGTCATTAGCAGAACTTGAGGCCGGAATACTAGTCCTAGAAGTTGTGAACTCAGAGGGTACTGTTGCCATAGTAACTGAAGTAGTCTGGTCAGCATCCCGACGGATTATATGGCCCAGGTTTGCAGACGTCAGGCACAGGATGAGTAGAAGTTCAGCAAGCATGCACTGTAGAGTAAAATCAAGACAGGTTGACTGCACTTATATTCTTAACTTTCTAAAATTTCAAACGAGGATTTCAAATCACCGAGTCTTCATTTTCTAACGTTATCTTTGGTACAGCAAAAGCACTATTTGATGTTTTTCATTTTGCGGGTGTCGGGGGCAGTACTGGATCACGGAGGCGGGGATTGGGAGTTGCAAAACCCTTGAGGCCTAATGATCCGTAGGCAAATTTATGCCACAAATATATAGACCAAAATGCTAAACAGTTCGTCTTATTTTAGAATCGGTTTGCAATTCAGATTAGATCACCAGGCCTACCGTAGATTTACAAAACGGGGGAGAGAGAGCCCCGCTAAATAAGGCCTCAGGTAGGGGTTGGGTTTCTTTCAGATAGCGAATCCCACGTTTCGGCACAACAAAATGACCTAGAATAGTTCAATATGGCGATGGTACAGCAGATTTTTACCTGCTTGCTCTTTAGTTCAGGACCCCTGCTTTATCGAGGCATGCAGTTTTACAATTCAAGCGGAATGATTTTTTTTTACTCTGAGTGGCTAAAATAGCTGATACATTGAGCTCAATATTTGCCATTCGCCGCTACCAAAAGCCATAATTTCTTTACGTTCACTTTTTGCAATTCGCAACCCGGATTTTGCTCTTTTGACAACTGTTAGTCGACTAAATACTCATCTTTAACGTATACTGTGACCTCCCATTTATAGGAAGTGTCCTGTCCACCTTCTGTGTGTGTATTTATAACCACGACTCAATAGTCATGTGTCCACCGATTCCGGAAGTTCCTGAAAATAGATGGTTTTAGACGGAAGTTGTGGAATTTTACCTTCACGGTGCCCTGGGATTTGGTACCGCACCCATGTCAATATGCCGTTCATTCACGTCATTAGTATGCCAAAGCTGACCTTGGATATTCCATTTGTCCTGTTCCTTTGTCCAATCCCACCGCATGATAGGATTGGATGCTATTTCAGTGTGAATGACGTATTCCTTCAAAATAAATTGTGATAAGAGATACTGGGTGCAATGCAGTATCTGTTACATGTATTACATAACAGTTTGGGGAATTTTTATTTTCCTGTGGGGAAAATGTTCTTGCCAGTCCCGAGAGGAGACTAGTCTTCAGACCTCGCAGACCGCAGGCTTCCTCTGTTGAGATTTTCGACTTTCCAAAAAAATTCAAAAAGTGTGAAGTCGAAAGAAGTGAAGATATGCTATGAAATATCCGACTTAAAAATACTTCTGTACTTGGTTTCTAGCCTTAATTCCAGCCTGGATCAGGGAATTTGGAACGAAAGTTGCACCGGGATGTCACGTGATGGGCACGAGCGTGCCACGTGCGCGCCAAATGATTCAAAGGTGTGCTGGTACATCGCCTGAACGTATATGTGACCCGTACATCGAAATCAGGAATAAGTCACAAATTGACCTCTTGAGATATGTATATGGTCAGAAAGAGAATTTCATAAGCTTTCATAAGCTGGTATATCGGTAAGCTTGCATGCCTACACTTCCAAAATAGACAGAAACCGCCGAATCGATTTTTTTCAACATTCACCCACATCCCCACTTTACTTTTATTTCTTAACAGCCAACCAGTTTATTTCCATTGAACAACTCGATTGTCACCGAACCTTACTGACTTTGGATTTTTCTTCATTCGTATAACACCGTGACTAATCGGGGTCAAATCCCGTCTTTCAGAAGTTCGGTGTACCTGTGACAATGAGGTCATTCATTCCCGGTGTGTGTGGTATCACCAGGACGCGAGCGTCCGCCTGACATGTATACCGGATTGTGAAGTAATGTCATTGCATTTAGGAAACATGATTCGCCAGTAACATATATTGAAACTCTTTTATTTCAAAAGAATGTTTACGGAATGATAATACTTCCAGAAATAGGCCTAAATATCCCAAATAGTGATTCCCAAGTGGGAAATAATTAAAAAATTGACAATACTCCTTGAGACTCAAGCCAAATAGTCTAAATTTGTAAGTACATTTTACTTATTACACAAAAAGCAAATTATCCAGGAAACGTTTGGACGACTGAACTTTGTCCTGAGATTATTAAGACGAAAAGTGATGGGTTTTAAGGTTTGTCTTTTGGTTTTCTACGTTTTTGCCACTCGGAGTGAGGGGAATAAATATGATGTGATTTTTTTTAAAAAGTAGGCAGATTTGCCACGCACATTATAAAAAAATTGAACATTTCTGTACATGTAATCTTGAAGAAAAGCTGACGTTTTCTGTTAGTGCATTCTCAAAACTGGAGTCATAATGCTCAGATTTTGCAGACCAAGATGCAGAAAAATTTATTTGCTTTTTAGTGTCCCACGAAACAAGATAGGTATAGGCCTTGTCCTTGTGCTTCATCCTTGCCTGGCAAGCAAGTGTGTACACGAATTAACTTTGTGAATGAACAGGGTGGCGTCATCTGCCTACGTCACGAGTCCTACGGTGAGAGTCCGGGATTTTCCCTTACAACGCATGTGATTGTGCTAGGTCACCCAAGCATGTCACATGAAGAAACGGCTTCGTACAGGACGAGGTCGTGGCATGTTTGTCTGCACTCGACGCTGTGGAGTATAGCTATGGGCAAACTATTACAATATCAGTCCGTGCCGGAGAGGTTTAACGCTGACTATAGGGACGCTGCCCTGATTATAACTCTGAACTTGGGAGCGAGGTTTCAATTAATGCAAACCATATCCTGTCTTTTGCATTCAAAGATCCACCTACACAGTTGCCTGTTTGTTATCATATTTGTTTTTGTTATTTCGTTAGTATGCAAATTATTGTCATGATGAAAACTTTCATTTTGAGAAGAGGATTTTGTGATTCCAGAGATATTACGACGTAGGTCAGGAAAATTCACAGTCTGCATTAAAGATGTCTAATAAAATGACAGACTTAGTTTCAGCCAAACGAACTAAATAAAACACCAAAGGCAAATTCTGGATAGGAAACTTACTTTCCATTAAGTTTACCCTACAAAAGGCAGGTTGAAATCTGAAACCCCCCCTTAACATTTTTCCCAATATCACTGCAGTGCAATTATTAAGAGTTAAGCCTTTATACGTTATTAGCATAACTCTCGGCAGTCACTTTGACACCAATTTTGCGAAAATCGAACGAGACGGGTCAGCCCAAAATGTATACTTTTCTACGCATGTAGCCTTGAACTTTAAATGACCGTAACAAGAAAACTATTACTGATTTTTAACAGAGTGCACACTGTATTGAAGAGCAAGTGTCTTTACATGCATGCTAACTTTAAAAAGAAACCTCGAGCGGCAAATAGCCGCTTTCTTGGGGGTGAAATCAGCCTCCCCCCGGCTCTTTAGTATTGTAATTATCAGTTGACATGGTGAATCGAAAGCAAATTGCTTAGTACAAATAATAGCATTACCAATATTTTTCCTTCCTAAATTTGCAAACATAAAGCAATAGGAATGAGAATATTGAGTTCCAGAGCCGCATGCATATTCCTTGAGTTGCTTGGATTGTATTTTTATATCCAGAGAGGAGCAGAATATCTGAAGATTTGAACGGTTTGCTCCACTTGTATAGCGGAAGAAATACGACGGAAAAATAAAAACTTTTTCAAAAAATCACTTCGTAATTGTCGATTAAATTTCTTGATGAGAAATAACTGCTGGGTAATTTTTGCTGCCCCTTATTTGAAACCATGAAGAAATATAAACACTTAGTTTCCTCTTTTTAGATTTTTCCTGTCTGTTTCCAGCTAAATGCATTAATTATAGCTCATACCTTACACCATAAAAGCCTATTTTTTCACTTAGCGTAGTATTTTAACCAGTCAGCCATATACATCATGATATAAAAACCTATTTTAACAATGTTGGCGGGAGCCCGTTAGATTGCATAAGTGAAGAGCATACTGGCGTCTGTGCCACTTCTCTCGGAGCAATGTGCGCTCGCCCTGAATTGTTTTTTTAGTCAGCTTAAATGCTTAGCCAAGCAACAAACGGGTGCCTGAAAAAATTGAAATATGTTTGAACTAAGAAGTTAATCTTAGACAAGCTTACTCTTTTTGTTGACGTTTCCTGAGTAGCAGTTTTAAAAATATTCCTGGTCTATGTATTGAAATAATATATCTAACATACAAAATTGAAATTGAAAAACAAAATCATTAAGGCAATGACAACTCGCTCCAAACTCAATCAATTCCGTTTGGCAGCGCAGCCCAATCAAGAGTTATGTGAACCACGATCGAGTGACTGTGGCCAGTTCTCACATTTAACTGCTTATTTCAACTGCAGCTAACTTTACGAGATTGCGGTCGTCATTGACGTTTGATTGCTTTATTGCCCCAGCTCAGACAACTAATTAAAAAACATAAGTTTTCAATGTGGAGCTTTAAATTTGGCAGTTTTCCTTATTATATCTTCGCGTTTGTCTTCCAGCTCCAGACTCAGGCTTTGCCACAAATTTATACACGAGTCCTTTTTTCATAAAGTTTGAGATAGGGCAGCTAGATATTAAATCTCTCGTATATGATTATCACACCAAGGATGGATCCGAAGTCAAAACCTCAGTTTGTAGAAAGGAAAGGCTTACCAGAGGAGACATGATGATAATGAGTCCTGTCTGAGATAAAACGCACAGGTGTTCACTTTGATGGTTGTGAGATAACTCTTCTTGTAATTTGGTTGGGTTGCTCCAGGCTCGATGACGCCAACTGAAATGCCTCTGATGAAGCTAACGAGGGGATTTTATACTCCATCCGGCCCATCTGTGGTCCCCTACCCAGGTCCAGGTGTTCCCTACACCTTTCTTCCTGTTCATCCCAGGGATTTCGTAAGTGAATTTTTCCACTTCGCCCGGGATTCCCTTGCCAATCTATTTTTGGAGAAGTGACACTGTAACTGGTGAATACCCGGAGCCCCTTGTTTCCTCCATTCTCCATCCCGAACTAATTCCATTTTGAACTTTGAAAAGAAAAGCTGTCCAGTCATTATGACTCACGCTCACTCCACGGCTTCCCTGTTCCCCAGTACAAGCCCAACAAGTTAATTCCAGTCTGTTTGCTCGTCAGTGTGGAGTTTTCCTCAGTGAAATAATGAACTCTGCTCCGTCGCGCATGATCGCACGGCCTACTTCAGAATTAAGGGACGACCAGGTCCACGTCTATCACCATATGGAAAGTCACTGGGAAGTTCGCTAGCTATTCAGTCCACAAAAAAAGGAAACTGCACGTGACATAAATATTCATAGCCTCTATTTGTTTTGTTCACTGAGCTGTTTTGGGGGCGATGGTAAATTCCCCTACTGAGACAATTGAAAGTAAGGCATCACATGATCTGTGTAGAGACGAGGAAGAAGTAAATGATGCAGTAAATTTGCTGCAAAGAATGATTTTGGGCAAATTTATTTTCATTGGATCCGGAGGTTTCAGGACATTTTTACCGAGACGTGAATTGGGGATTGGCGTTGTATGTCCCTAATTAAATACAGGAAACGTAGTCATAGACACGTGATGGTCACGTGAGAAAACTTTAGGCCAGTTCCTTAATCCAAGAATTGCTAAATTACGACGCAAGGCGCGATTTTCAAAAATCGTCAGCTTAATGGTTGAAGTCAGAATAGAAGAGATTTCTTTAACTGGTACCCAAACTCATCAAAACAACGGGTGACAATTTTTTTCATCGACAAATGACACTGTTTTACTCTCAAAGAGCTGGGTTATTTTGATGGAGATCCCCCTCCCGAAGACGGCAGTGCCACACCCATTAAAGTTTGGCATGCATGTCAAGACACTACGTATCTTACCAAACATTAATGTGAAATAATTGGAACGTAGGCCTATGTGTTAGTAGTTACAGTCACTGGAATTTCAATGCTACACACATGTACCCAACGGAAATGTTTACTGGTACATTTTGGACTGACCTGTCTCGAGAAAATTGGCGCTACGCAAGAACGGTCAATTCGATTTTCACAAAATTGCTGCCAAAATGAGTGGACAGTGTTACTCTGAGTAGGCCTACCCCAAACGCCTACCTCCGTAAAAATGAGCCTCAACGATATAAAAAAAATTGAAACAAATTATAAAGAGTTATAACATAGTGTGGCATGGGTCGATGTCATGTGCGTGAACATCTGAGGGAGAAATCAGGGATCGTGCTGATTTTTCAAATATATGAATCCTACATTCCCCAAATGTTATACAAATTGACGATTTCAACGGCAGTTTGTTGGTTTTGTCCGCAACGAAAATAATCCAATTAATCAATCCATCCAAAGTCACGTGGGCTCTGCAAATAACAAAGTGCGTCAGTGTATGAATTCACGTGACAATTTGGCCAACTTGGCTAGCAATTCCAAAATAAATTATTTGAAATAAAAACGTTCATTCATTTTATAATTAGCACTGCTTACAGAATAACATATCTCGTCTAAATCCACTGCGAAATGAATAATGTTATTTGCAGTTTTCTGTTAACATTGTTGTTCATAATTTTTTCATTTATTGGACATGCGTTCCTGGACCCCTCCACCTAAATCGGTTCGTGTGTTTCGAAGGTGGTGATGTAAATAAACAGAAGACTTCTCCAAACAAAAAATGTTTTTGGAGGGAAAAGAACCATTTTCTTCAAACTGAAGACTTTTTGTTGATAATGAGCAAAAAAAGTCAGAGTTTTGAGTCGCAGTTGCGTCACAGGAATCCAGAGTGTAAAGTACTGGTCGTTATGCGTTTTATCTTTTGAAATGTGGAAACCCGTCTATAAGATGAAGCTCGTACGCCTAAACAAGTAAATTTAGGAGATTCTGTTCAGATTCTGATAATGTACGATCAGTGCGTGAACTGTGCGTAGCCGTGATTTGCACTAAGAGATTTTAAAGTCTATTTCTTCCAATTTGTAAAATAATGCCAGCACAAGAAACCACTTGACGCGTCAACAAGTGTTCCAATTCCTTATTAAGACACTCATTTTGGCGGTAGACTTAGATCCCGGTCGGAAAGACAAAGTCGAGGACATAGTTTCAAATTCCTGGGCTCATTGAGAGAAATGAAACTGAAAGCGGATCAGTGGTTGTCAATGTACACTGTACATGAAGAAAATGGATCCGGGAGACATGTAGGCGTAAGGGTTAGTACTATTTAATGATTTAAACTTTCCAAACAAAGGAACAAATAAGAGACAAAAGGTAATGTCTGGGAATGGTCATTATTTGGATATCTTTGGGCATAGGTAAAGATGGAAACTATTTGGTTTGGGGAAAAATCCAGGAGGGAAACTACCGAAAATGGTGTGCACGACTCGACGGCGTGGACACGACACACAAGGTAAACCACAATAATACAGCCAACAATAACCAACAACAAGAAATAAAATCCAAAGCAATGAACAACAAATCATGAAAAGACCTGTACACATGGTAACCTTTACGGATGATTTCACTCATGTTCCCTGCCTGGGAGAGTGGTACACACACTGGGATTTGGAAACCGCTGCTACAACAAACATACTCTCTTTACGAAATTTAATTCCCTGTATGGGCCTGTAGTGTTAGTTTCCCTCTCTGTTTCTAGAGTTCCCCCAAAGGCTAGAAGAATGTTTAGCCCCTTTGGGTGGTGAAACGAGTTTCCTTGGCTGATTCTAGCCCTGCATGCACAAGTTACTGGCAATAATACTAGAATACGGCATTTAGAAAGACACATATATAAAGATTGAGAAAGGAAAGAACAACGTGGGTTGACTTGCTCCAAGTCCCAGCATAAACCAGCTGCCAGATACCAACTATAGTCCCAAGGGTTGCAGCCTACGCTGTCACATATATTGACCAATCAATTAGCAGGTGATTATGGGACGATGCTGATTAGTATGACACCAGACAATACATATTAAAAATGAAAAGCATATTTATAACTATTCTCTTATTGGATCGCGATCTTATTATTATCATGAAGTTAACATTTATAAATTCTTAATTAAAGCAATCTTCATATCCTTAAAATATAACACTTTAATTAATGACACACTGAAGTGTGTACTTTAGTGCATGAATTTCGAATAAATTCAGACGAGATTTTAAAACCACAAACGAACTTTGTTTCATTCTAACCATATGATAAAAAAAGAGTATTAAATCAAACCATATTCTCTTTCCTGATTGCATATCAATACAAATATTTAGCACACAGACTCAATGCACTGTTTAATAAATATTAGTTTGCGAGACTTTTAACTAATTATATCACCAGCAAAGATGCAAAGATAAGCACGTGACACAGTCACTACTGTACTTTCAAACTGATAACCTCAGCTGAAAATAGCTGTTTGCTATTAAGCAAATACAGTTTTAAAATGATGGTTTGTTTGCGTTTAACATGTCATTTTTATCTTTATACAGATACAACTCTATGTATACATTTAAGTTTACTTCCAAGCCAGTGTTATTTATTTTCACTTTACAGAGACTTTCTTGGTGACTTTACTTCCCTTTTTGTTTCGTGTTTTATGTGCATGTCTTATGTCTTCCTGAGTAAGAGCCGCTCTTCGAGACTGAATGGTTTGAAAAGAAGACGGACTCTATGGATCTGTAGATTCCAGATCAGTTTGGACAATTAGTCACAAACATCAATAAGAACAATAAAGTGTCTGCGCTAATTGTAAACTTTAGAAAACAGTTCGAACATTTTAGAAAAAAGTCTAGGCCTGGTCTCCGTCTCAGTGTCAGCCACCAGATGGAAGTTTTGTTTGGCTGAGCGCGATAAGGTGATTGAAGAAAGATAATTGAAATGTTTCCATTGTGAACCTCGTAGCAACGAGAACTCAAGGAGGGACAATCCTGTCTCTGTTATAAAACTTAGCTGCAAGGACCTATACTTGTTAAAATTGTTTTCTTTGACGATGATATCATCTGCTCCGAATTGGATACCAGGAAATACTCGTTACAAACCGATCACTAACCCGTACCTGCTTACAAGAGGTAAAATCATTTTTGGCAAGCAACAAGGCTATAAACTCATTTAATTAGCTAAATTAATATACATGTATAGAATAAATACTATATTCTATAGAACATTCCTCTTTCTCCATATATTTAATTATTTAGGAGCATGTTTTCATAAATAAATAAATAAAGCGAATTATTAGATATTGCAAGAGATTATCTTTTTAGGCAAAATTGCAGTGCTGTTTTTGTCCTCCAACCTGAATTCTAATGCAGAGTTTCCCTGACGGCCATACTGGAGTCACTTGTCAATTTGACGGGAATAAAGACTTGACCACCAGTATGGCCGCGTGTAAAAACGCTGTTATTGCCTGATGCGAAGAACGTCTGTCTCCTTAAATTTCCTTGTCTCTAGCGCAAATCCTGGCAACAGGGACTTTGATGGACGTGTTTTGCCAGCTGCAAAAAACAACAGAACAAAATGGTGGTGACTGTTGATAGGACATGTTGTACATGCACCTCATTCTGTGGAGCCTGTCAACTCGCCGATTGTCCGGTCCTAATGACTGAGGTCTGCGCTACAAAATCGGTTCACCCCGAATCACTCTGCTGTTACTTTTGCCTTTTGCACCAAAGCTTAAAGAATATAGTGACAATGATCTGGCTCCTCAAGCCTTTTTATAGCATGAATTAACCGTTAACTATAAAAATAACCTTGTTGTTTTTCGCCCAAATCAAGAGCCCGAATGAGATTCCAAAATTCCTGCCTTCCAGAATGCGTCTATATCCAACCATGATCTAAGTAAACTACAAATCACGCGTATCACGGGGGTGAGATTACCATAAAACTACCGTCATCTCTGTGTGAACACTGGGGTTCTGAAAAGAACCGGTGGTAATCAACATTTCGGACAGTAAGCTCCGTCCGTTGTCCGGAGACTGGCGTAATACTTCTCCCTCGACTTTCATCTTCGTTGTCCGGTGGGTGCAATGCCCGACTCAGTCCATACGTGGATAGGGTTTTCAGTGCCCACCTATTCTTTGGGTTTCACTCCCACCTCTTAAGGTGTATAAAACCCTTCTCCGATTGTGTCTTCTCTACAAGTTTCTTCGGGCTTGCGAGCTAGAATGCTGAGGGCGCTTTTGAGGAATCCTTGGTTTCATTGCTAAAAACATTAGGGATAAAGTAATCAAGCAGACAGATCAAAGGACCGATGAACAGTCAAATGTTCTGGTCAAGTCATTGTGGTGGCTCTTCAAGTAGGTCTTACCTCTCGCTGCTAGATTGTCTGGTCTGCACCTGCATTGTATACATCACCATCTGGCACGAACCCTGCGCACTGTAACTAAGTTCGTCTGTATTAGGATCGATGCACGAGTTTATGCCTTTGTGGACTTCTTTGGCAAACATCAATTTGCTAGGCAACCTGAATTTAAGACAGAATGCGTGTTAGATGCGTATAGATTGGCGGTTTGGTGTCACATGGTGGCGTTGTGGAATACTGGTGGTGTGTTGAGATAGCACTTGATGCCGACTGTACAGGATACATACCAGTACATCTGACTGGATTCCCTTTATCGAGTAAACAAACCCGTTTTCGACGTTAAGAGTGTGGACTTACAACTTGTGAACTGTAGATTTTACCCATATATCTTGTGTTTTTCACCAGGAAGTTGTCGGATATCGCGAGAAAAAAACATACAAACTGGGGTTCACTTGTCTTGTGCAAAGTCGAATACGATCGCCAGTGGTACATGGTCGACAACTTTGTAAGAAGCGGGCGATGATTGCGTACGACCAGCGACATGTGTGTAACGAAGGAAGGAAGGAAGCATGAGGGAACACGCCGCCCACACCCCTTGCCGAGGCCTGTGCGTCCCGTCCCCTGTGTGCCCCCCCTCCCCCCAAATTACAGAAGGAGAAAGAACCTGGGAATATAAAAGTCCACTTTGATTAGTGTTGTGCCTATCATTCCATGAGAACGAGGTCGTCTAAATCCTGACTGATTCCACTTTCCAAAAAATAAGGGCCCGCAGTCAACCCGCTCCATCCCCGCCCATTGAATGCATCCTAGTCACGTTAATGACTATCCGACCACTTGATCTAATAGTGAACTGGTAAAATGAAAAGGGTGTACGGAGGCCATGAATAGTTTTAAAAACAGTTGGAAACAATAGAGGGCGTTGTTCAACAATATTGAGTGAGAAATTGTAGCAAAACAAGAATGTATAAAGGATTGAAATTTCCAATTCCGCCAAGAACTGTGTCAAATTGTGTTCACCTTATCAGCCAGATGTCAACGACCGACCACTGCTACAGTACGGGTCGAGTACTGCATATTAAAATAGTCTTTGTAACTGCATACGTATACATTCTCTTTTATTTTTAATCACGATGGCCTATAACTTTAGTTCAGAATCAGGAAGTTCTCGGTCAGATTGCGGAAAGCCTAACACAGGATTTTTTCGTTGTGAATTCCTGATTTGGTAGCGTTTAGTATGTAGGATACTTTTTTCCTTCCTGAGTAGGTCATGCACATGAGAGCAGGATTATTAATAGTTTGTGCATTGTGACGTAACCTGGTTCAGGATAATTAACACGCGTAGGCAAGATTAATCCAATTATCGCAGACATTGCGCGGACTGTGTCGTGTCGCTGACGTTTTTTCTCGAACGAACTTGCCTCAGTAGAAAACTAAACTGGCGTATTAGAGGCTAACGCGTGATTCCAACCACAGTTACGATTTCATACTTACAGATTCGTATGGAGACAATAATCATCAATTACCCTCAGAGAGGCGTTTTAGACCGTGAGGTTTACTGTCCCAGACGGATTCTAAACTTTACTTCAAACACTGAGAACATCAAATTTTATCTGGACTTTAGTCCGAGCTTGATTAAAAATGATCATGCACAATACAGAAAAAATGTCTCATTATTATAGCCATAATAATATTAGTTTTTTTTTTAATGCTGCCGTAAACGTGTACGGTTATCTCAACCCTTGTCTTTAGGGCCTTACCTGTTCATGTCTTCGTTTTCCTCATATTCGAATTCGCAAATAGCTCGAGAGGGTAAGTCTCTCTTCCGCCTGATGTCTGCTTCGCGTTTGCCGGTAGTTGATGTCTCTCCTTCAAGCTGAGCACTCCCGCTACCGCTCAGTGATACAGACAAAAGATCTGAGAGCCTGTTTCCACTCGAGATTTCTTGCATTTGGTCGTTGCTATTGGAAAGGAATCCACTTCCACTGTTGGAGGAGAGTCCATCAGATGAAGCACTTTGATCGTTCCTCCCACTCCCGCTGAGGTTGTTGTCGTTTATCCATTGTGAAGAGGGTCTAAGTAAATCCTGGATGGAAGCTCTTGCAACACACGCCAACATCAAGACGAACAGTAACCGAACACACAAATGTGAATCTCTCTGCAATCATGAATTAAAATCATCAATGACACGTAATATCGACAAAAATGGTGCGTTTCTTGCGAGTCTCGTGTATGAAAAGTTTTACTATCGAGTAGTTATTGGGAACGTCACGTGCTGAATTCGTAACCACAAGGTTGAGACTCAACCATGTTAAGAACAAAAGGTCGTGTACCGTTTGACATACAATTTCTGAACGTCTACGAACTTGGCAAATTAAAGTAGGAAAGAAAAGGTTTCCACCGGAGTAGTCCGTTTACTGCACATAGGAGACTCATAGCTGTCCAACAGTTGTGGCTGCGAATCATGCACTTTCTGTGTGAGCCACTGTCTAGCGGCTTCAACTACTTCCCCTTGGACATGCGTGTCTAAAGCCACAGCCAATGGATTCGCGGCATTGATTTAGAGGTAAGTGGGAAATGAGATTGTGCTGTTTATCGACACTGAAGCTGTATAGGAAACTAAACCCTTGAACATTTCAACCCGGAAGTCGCTGTATTTTTGTCCTGGCAGACTTTCATATCTTCATTTCCTGACTTTTTTGGAATGCAACATAAACTATAAATTCAGACAGGTTTTGATATCGCCCATTCATTTTAATGTTCGGCGACTGTTAATTGTTTGTTGTCGTTCCTGGCCGAGATAAACAAAACACGAACATGACACTGCATGTGTTCGTTCCCAATCAGTCAAAAAAATATCTCCGACGAAAGTATGGGTTAAGTGTTAACTAATTAATTGAGGAAGTCCTGTAGAAATGACCATTGAAACGCAACATTTGTCTGGACTTTTCAAACATAGATCATTGTTTCCTCTTGGATCTATCAATAATCAAACCGTCAATTGTAGCGAGTTCGTTATTTGTTAATTAAGAAATCCATAGCATGCTGTTGGAAACATGGTATTACCAATGGAATTCTACTCTGTCTGCTTTTTCATTTTCACAAAAATGACACCACTAGTCTAAAATACTTCGATTAACTTAAAAGTGCATTGCGCACTAACCACAAACAGAAATCGAAAGGGAATGCAACATCATTTGCTATATTTGTTCTTGGGTGGACATGACGTTTCATTTTCATGGTTATTTTATGTAATGGATTGAATTTGTGTTTCTCTAAAGACGTAAATAGGGGTCAATGTTTGTATTCGATGGTCGTCTTCAAGGTGAAAATACAAATCAAAAATTGATGAAGTGGTCAGTTGGTTGTTTTTTTGGGGGGGGGCATCCAAACACATCATTCAAGCCTAAGAGGGCGCCCTTGGTTTGGCTGCTGGCCACTGATTGTTTGCACACAATAATGAGGAAACCTATGATGCAAAGCACTGCTGGTACCCTGCAATTCAAACGCGTGTGTCGCGCGCGCACTTAAGTATTGATCCGCAGGGCTCCAATGACGGACAACTGAGCTTTTCGTAATCGGCACTGCAAGATGGCCGCCGGTGGCTTCAATTACTTCTGTGCTGATTAAAGGCATTGCTGTTCTACTTAATTACTGCATTATTAGAACAATAATGTATTACACAATGGCATATGAAACTTCATTATCGCAAGTCTGCAACTCGGAACTGAAGCTCTTAATAGAAATCAAAATCCACCAGAGGTTATTTGATCTGATCTTGAGCAAAATAAGTAAACCTTCTATCCGTGTGATGCAATACTTCAGATCAATAAATAAGGAACCAGGGAAAATTGATCGAAAGTCCCGAGGCACTTAGACAGACAAGTCGGAGAACTGATACGAGATAGTTCCGCAAACACTATTGTACATGACACACGTTCAGACGTGAACGTATAAAAATCGGACTTGCTGTGTTGCATTGAGTACGGTACTAAATTATAGCAGAAAGCAAAACTTTAAAAATCATGTTTCTTTTTTATCCAGTTGATGGATAGGTAGAATTAATAATGTACTGAAAATGTTGATACAAAGATACGAATCTATTTTTGAATTAACATTTGTGAAAATATGAGTTCATAAGATCAGTTCCCGGATCCTAGATTTCAACTGTGATGTCACAGCATTTTGATTGCACAATGCAGGATATCCCAACATTTAGGCAGTGGTCGGAGTAGTCGAAAGTTTGACCAGTGTCCAGGTCACCAAATGTCATTGTCCACAACCCCGTATCCTTGAATACCCAGTTCAATTAATATGAGTTCTTTGGCACACCGATTTCGTTCAATTTCCTTTACAAGCCGATCTACTTGAGCGGACAACTTCTGTTTACACTACCAGGGGTCAATATGAAACAATGTACCAGTAAAGCTTGGAAAAATGATTCAGAATAATAGTTTTAATTCGGGTTACAGGCTTCATTTTAATACGTAATTGATTCCTCTTGGTTCGAAATCATTTTGAGAGGTCAATTTTCTGCGCACTGATACAAGAATCTAATCACGGTGATCGCAAACAGTGTCGTGGGTTGGTGGATCTGGATAGAACTCTACACTTAAGGAATTTCCAAGTCATCGCAGATTGTTTGTGATTGTCGTAAGGCACTTGGCTGGGTCTTTGCGACGTCTCATATATAACCCGGCTTAATTGACATCGACTCACTGGGTTTTTCATAATCATTTTGATTCACAACACGGCTGCTAAAGATCATATTCTTCGTTACGTGAATGGAAAGTTTCAAACCAAAACACGGGTTCTGAAACGTGGCTTGACCGAGTCTTTATTAGTTTGCTTCCTCTAAGACTAAACTTGTTATCATCTTACACGTGACAAAATTTATTGCACAATGTCGCGATAGGATTTCATCACTTCGCTGCCATGTCCGCTTCAAGAATTACATAACTAGGCAGACAACAATATTTGATCAGTTCCGTGTGAGTGTACAAGCCGCAATAGATAAGTCTGGATTACCCCTAATGATCAACCACAACCACGCTTAGTAATTCCTCCTAGACTCCAAAGCATCGAATGGCGAGTGATTAATCAGTAACACGGTTATTCCCCGACAGGGATAGTGTTGTTTGTTTTGATTCTCTTTCATTCAAAACGGACAAGTTGTTTTCTTACTTGTAATCACTAAACAACCCCCTCTGCTAATTGATAACTCTCTCATAAGTTTCAGACATGTTGTAGATTCGAGAATCCCGATTATTGCTATTTGTCTACAGGAACTGATGCAGTATGTCTTTTGTATTAAATCAAATCTTACCAATGAAAGTTAATTGAAAATGTGACTAATCAATTCGCATTCGTGCAGGTATCAAAAGATATTTTATGTGTTGCAAGAATAGGTGTGAATACCCTACGGTGCGTGATCACACGTGTTTCAAAATAACGAATAAGGCGAGCGTCACCAGAATTGACCGAGGAAAAAAATACCGTAGAAATGTTGTCCCTTTTATGTTGTAGGCCTAGATACTGAAATTGAAACATAACTTAATTTTCCGGTATACGCGTATACTCAGCGTCTTCTGAAAGCGTATCGATTTCACCGCAGAAAAGCATCTCGTTCTGAATTCTGCTAAATTTTTGACTGAACTGTGTTCACTTTGCAAAGCAAAATACTGAACCATACAGGTTGGTTTTTTTTAGTTAAATTGACATTGGGACAGTTAAAGTGAAATGTCATTTCACTAAACAAACAAACTTGGATATACGCGACGGACCCGCACAGAGACCACTTCGTTCTGTCGTCGTTCCTTTCTTTCTTTCTTTCTTTTATTTTTCTATAAGGTTTCGCATGTAACCACGTCTCCTCCAAAGGTACATGAGCTTTCTCGTGTGAATGAGAAATGTTTAATTAATTTGTAGAGAATTAAAAGTAAATGTAAGAGATAGAAATCGGATTCGCAAGATTCCACCGTGAGTTATGTATCTCCCCACTGTCACTGGACAATTCACAGAAAGTGGAGGTATTAGAAAAGCAACACCAGAATGCAAACATACCATCCAAACTCATTTGTTCAAATACTGCCTGAACTTATCTTTCTAAAATGACAACAAAGCTCATCAACTTCAGCGCATTCAGATCTAGAAATCTTACACCAATGCAAATTTATGGTGCCGTTGTTATCCAGATTCTGATTGCCAAAACATGTTGATTTTATCAGGGTGTAAAAGTGAACACAACCGTTGATTTCCATACAAATCGTCTGTTTTCGAGCCAAACTCAAAGTTGAAATCTTTATCTTACCTCTGTTGAATGATGCATTCCCATTGCTCGGTGTGTTACTCTACAATGCGCTATAGAAATTGAACAAAGCTTTTCCTCTCTTCGCTTGTCGAGATGAGATGAACGATTACACCTGTTGCTTGTTGAATTATTAAATCAAATAACTTTGTCTGGCTTCACCTTCTCGATGGAAGAATTAAACTGTTGTCTGCTTTGGCGGCTCAGTACCGAATGATTAATGAGAGGATGAGAGCAGTGTTTTATAGCTGTGTATCGTTTAATTGTTATTTATAATGTAACTACAACTCGGTCGGATTTTCCTGGCCGCTCTACAGTCGTATCGGGAATTTCCCTGTCGTTGTTTGTAAATAACTCATAGTCATCGTACAGTATCATGGTAGGTGGGGCAGCTGCCGATACATCCTCCCAACTTGATGAGGAAACGGACTTGTATTTGCGTGGGACTGGGGAATATTCAGACTCGAAAGTGAGAAAGCATAATTAATCCAAATGTTTTCTGTTGAATAATCTCAATTAAGGAACTTAGCGATACCATACGTCATTAATGCGGTAAAAGAGCCCTCTTCCGGGATGAAAGTGGTGGATTTCAGTGAGATTTATGAGATATAATTAACATGAACTTTAGCAGAATTGAAAGCAGAAAGTAATGTGAAAAATCAACGGGTTTTATTTATTAAGCAAGCAATGTATAAAACGAACATCTATAATTATACGTGAAGTGGAAATAAATCATATCAATGAGAATGCATAAATCAATAAATGAGGTTCAGTCAATGAATAATCCATATCCCAGAGATACCCTCAAGACTGTTTTTGATTATAATTTCTGAGTATCAATTTAAAGCAGGGGTTGGGGCAACTCTCCCCACCCCACGGGCGGACTGTGTGTGTCTTTTAACTTGAAAGCGGCAACACCCTAAAAACAACCGTGACCTCCTTTGAGGAAAGGACACTAGAGGATTGTTTTCCATCATTATTTTGACAATATTTTTGCAGATAGAAATCTTTAGTTTGGATTCTTCCTGGGCTCCAAAGCTGGACACGTATGCTCTGCGTTGCATTTGATCCTTACTCATCCCAACCCGAACCTGAAGTCTCCACCCCTGAACCCGATCACAGGTTTAGGTAGGGATTTTTATTTATTATTTAGATGAAAATAGCAAACCTTGTGTTTCTTGTTCTTGCCTTCAGTAACTTTAGCTAAGTGTAACGCCAAACACAGGCGTGGAATAAAATGAAATATGTGCACCAATACCATTGTAAAATTTATGTCATGTACAATGTTTCATCATCGTTCTGCTTGTCCACGAAAATCTCTGGCCTGACATACCCGTTCCGGAAAAATTCCTGGATTTTTCTATGATGTTGCTTTAAATACAGCAAACGTGTAGCCATCTGAACAGAGTGCTGGCTGAAATTCCATTAATTACATTTGTTAATTGCTCTATAAAAACCTGTCATTTCTATTCTAGATTTTCCTACTACTGCAAGACTTGATGAAGATCCTGTTGAGCAGTTGAGTAATTATCTGTCTTCCCTATCGAGGAATAAAACCCCATCGGATTCGTCACCAGTTTTCAAAATAGCGATTTCTGACAACATCATTTAAAACTTTTTACCACGTATACTTGTACCGATATTTTGTGCATTGTGATTTCAAACCCAAGAACCATTTCTACAGGGAGGTTTTGTCATGATTTTTTCTATATATTTGTTGAATAACTTGTTCAATCCACATAAATATGCATTTGTGTATAATGAACCGCATTGCGGGGTTTTCTTTGGTTCTTTTATTTAAAATTTGGAAGTAAGCCAAATTAAAGAAATCTGTTGACCTAACTTAAAAGGCCATAGGCAGGCATGGACGGGAGGAAATGCAGGTCTGTTGGAAATTTGTCAAACGGAACACAGAATACATTTCTTCTATTATTCAAACATAGTTATGGGATATTGCGTTTTCCTAAATTTGCAAAGTATTTTGTCTTCCGCGGGGGTTTTACCTGTAAAAGAGGGGATCAATTGACTTTGAAGAGTTTGTCAAAAGTCGAGCGAGAAAATTAAATAATTTATAGCCAACTTGGTTGTATGATGTTGAAACTTATCTCACCTTGGTACGAGTCCCCTATTAAAATTATCTTACTTGCTGAAACCAGCATCGGGCCTGAATAAATTAAAGTTTGGTGTCTGATAAGGTTTTGCAAATAAACGGGAAGAAAGGCTTTGCCTTTTCCAGGAATTGAATATGCCGTAAAACTTTAGAAAGGGTCGGAGCGTGGTCGGAGTAGCATTCTCTGCGGAAGGGGCATACAGACAAGAAAATGGACAGTCGGTTTAGGAAAATAAAATTTCTCATTCCGCCTGCACTGAAAACCTGGACCAACGGGGATCTATCTGGATGGAAAAGTTTGTACAAGGTCACTGTTATTAAAACAAAATAACCGCAGGCACGGTTAGCAACGGAAAAAGACCACCCAGGATATTGACACCACACACCCACAATAAACGGGACAAGGAAGCCTTTCAGCGTAGATCCATACAAACCCAGGATAAGTTTAATACCAGGAAAGCTGTTTTTGTTCACTAATGAGCAATTCCCATTGAAGTCAAAAGCGAGTCCGTGAATCGGGGCCAGAGAGGGACTATAATTGGAGGGATTGATATTTTGAAATGCAAGTCAGGTCAATCCATCACTATGAAATATGTATCGTCATCATTCTGCACATGACCATCAAGAGGGCCGTATTTAGTGCATCACTTCAAGACATCCCTGTCAAGAGCAAGGGACCAGCACTCATTTGGAGACAACTGCTCAGTGTCGGCAACCTGCTTAAGTGAGATGGGACGGCCACGGGGCCTCCTCCAGATGGCAGTTTCGCTGACCAAGATGGAATTAGATAGCTGCGTCGAGGGCAACACGAGCAGAGTCGGGGCTTGGAGGTGCCGGGCGTGACCAAACAATTAAAAGTGTGTCACCTCCTTGCAACTCCCGAAAAGATGAATACCGCGTCTCATGCGCTGAGAGATGGTGGCATTTGAAATGAAGTTAAACCACTGGACGCCTAATATGCGACGCTGGCACTACATATCGAAGACCTGGAGGCGCTGTTGATTTCTTTCTCTCAGTGTCCAGCTTTCATGAAAGGCACGTCTGACAAGAATATTAACTAGATCTGCATAAGCCAGAACTACCAGAAAAAGCGGTGCTAAATTAAGACATTCGATATCGGTACTATTGTTGTTGCCCGGTATAATTTTTAGTATGTGTCGATGTAGGCAAAACCGGTCCTGTTGTGCTAGTATCGGTAACAAGGTGTTATGTCCAGGGGCCAGAGGGGATTTTTTTTTCTGAAAACGGTTGTCATTTTAAAGAAAATCTGTAAAAGGTCCCCCAAAGGAGGGTGGAGGTATACTCAAGCGTTAAGAGCCAAACATATCAAATACTCGGTTACCCCCACCTTTGTCTCTACAACATACACACAGTCTCAACGACAAGTTAATATCCATTCATATTTTGGACCAGTAGGATAATCCAATCAGAAGACAATCATAAATGCCGTTGCACGCACTCAAGCGCACATTCTTCAGCTTGTACGCGTGCGCATTTTGGTAAATCAAGACACCCTATTGGTCAAAGAGGCACCCCAACGCGCGCGTAACACCTGTCCACGAGCGTTGTGCCAACGCAGTAAATGGCTTCATTATTTTGACTGTCGAATTACACCATACATCGTTTGTGTAGTAGCTGAGTAAACTGTACAGTATCGATCAAGGAAACCGCTGAACAGCCTCGAACAATGCAGGACACACTGAACGCACAGATAGTTGGGGAAACACCTAACTCCCGCCTGCAAAATAGGGAAGAGAATAGAGATAGAAATGTAAATGACATGGACACTATTGAAGAGGCTTCGTTTCTCAACTTATCTTTTCGTAGATGATCCTTTTTCCCAAGTGTTGAACCTTTTAAATATTTTCACCTGTATATATATTTTCAGTTACCAGTTTTTCACGATTCCTTTTTTAGTTTGTCATGTACGACTGATTTATGCATTTGCTAATCAATAAAGTCCCATTTACCTCCTCTGACAAAACAGCAGTTGTCAGAAAATGGTAACCTGTGTCTAGAAAATCCGAATAATTATAATTATTGCTTCTGAAAACTTCGTCACTTCACTCTTAATTGACATTTATTTGTCAACACAAACATGGACCTCGCCAGGCAAAGCGCTCATCATACAGTGAGCAAGCAAGTGATAAACCGTAAACTGGAAGGGGTTATTCTCAGGTTTGTCAAACAAGTCTTGGGCAATATTCGTCCCGTTTCATCTCCTTTTTCTTCCATTACCATTTTTGTCTTCACTTTTTCCCTTTTTCCCCAAGGGAGGGGTAGTTTGCCTCCCTCACGACGGCACTGAGAACTAAGTAAATTTTTGATCTGACTTTAAATCTTCGATCTGGCTTTTAATGTCTGTTTTAATCTAACTTTATGATTTTATTATCTTTACATGATTTTGCTTCACCTTAGTAAATCTCTCTGACAAAATTCGAATTGCCCTCGCACTAAAATCTTCCCAGATTACGTCATTGTTGACTATAGGTCAGAACAGCGCTAAATAATCAGCAGGCAATATCACTATATTCTGACCCTCTTTTCCGCTATCAGTGTAGCTTCAACAATGGACTTACTGGATGCTTCTACAATTTGGCAGTCAAGCTATTTTTAAACTAAAAAAGACAGCAAAGGGTAGGAAGCGTGATTTATCCGTTATTAATGTCAGTTGGCCCCAAAACCACATGATGACGTTATCATGACACTTTTGAGTAACATATTCTTACAATGTTTCGCCGCGATGCCCTTTTATAATTGTTAAAAATTAGTACCCTTGGGACTTGCGAAACGAGGATAGAATACAAAACAGCTTCAGTCATCGTTGGGGGACAAGCCGTATAGGTCTAACGAAGTCCTTTTGTGAAGTCTTGTTTCTGTTGGACTGGCCACCTGATCCTTTTAGTTCCGCATACAGCTTCTAATAGTTTCTGTGCGTTACAAAACCGAAAAAGACTTATACGATTACTCAAGAAGATCGATGAAACGTGTAACCACCGTTCATAGATTAATCTATCTCTCAATATTATTGATATCCATCAATAATTATCTACCTGGAGGTGGAGACTAGTGGCAAAAATTCTGAAAGTGAATATTAAGCTGAGATGAGCGGGCAGAATGTCACCGGAAGACAAGATCTCGAATACTTTAACATGTACATTGCTTGGACGTATGCATGCGGGTGTCTACTACTATAAGATGAAATGTTGCTGAGGCTTAGTGGAACAAGACGGCTGAAACGTAGACTACGCCTCCCGCTAGATTGTATTAATCATGAATATCGTCTGGAAGTTTCCTTAGTATGTCGCAAAACCTAAGGATTATCGTCGTTATTACTATAACTTAAAAATCGAAATATCACACTTTCGAAGGATCCCTCAGTAATAATCTTCATTACATCACTGTTACGAACGGATGTCGGGAATCGAAACTCAAATATCAGTAAGGAGATCGGCTTCTTATGTCGTCAGTGCCACCCTAGTAGTATCTTTTATAATTCGTAATTAGTTCTACAGAATGGAACAGACGATCAGCATTGACGTCATACTGCCTGTCTTACTTGGTTCAAAGAGATACAAATGTCTCTGGAGTGGGTAAACATTAACACTCTGGCTACGTTAAAGGTTGCCTACGATATTAAGTTCCCGCTGAACACTCTTTTAATTATTCAAATTTATTCAAAGTTTACATTAAGCATTCATATGTTTTTTTTTCTTGAGGTTTGGTACCGTCCCCTGTCTTCAGTCGCCCCGCCCAACAACTGGTGTCAGTGCACTACGGTTAGAAAAACTACAAAAGCAAAACAATCCTAGTTTGGACTTGTTTCCACCACGAATGAGTCCGTTAACGACTTCCCACTGAATGAAAGACCATAAGAGCCGGCACAATCGGTTACACGTGACTTCCGTTCAAAGGAAAGATAAAACCAAAATCAACATTTGGTTCAAGCATCCCGCCCGAGTCCTTGAAACCGGCAGAATTGATGTCAGATGTACTGGGTCACAGCTGTGGTTCGGGTCACCATCGGGAAAACTGTAGCCTCTAACTGTACACCCACACAAAACGTCCCCGATCCGACTACACACCGCTTTTAAACAGAGAATAACCCCAGTTCTTAACCGGGTTAAAATATATAATTATGGTATAGCCTGTGTTATGTGATTAGTTTCAGAGTAGTTATGAGGGGTCTAGGACATAACAGAACAGAAAAGATGTTCTGTGAGTTGACTTGCGTAGCGAAGTGGATAAAGGAAAAGACGAGCATTATATTTTGGATATGTTATGTGATTTTCGTCCTTTTTGTTTTAACCTTTTCCGTTAGTTTCTTGCATTTCTCTTTCAACTTTTATTTTTAAATTTTCAGTGTTGAGCCTTGCCCCCTCATGAACCCCAAACCGGTTCTCTTTGCTTCGTTGAATTGATTTCATAAAAATTATTGTTTTACTGAAAATTGACATTGCATATAAGGAAGAAATAGTGTCAAAGAGCCGATCAGGTAATTATACTGGGGACAATGACGATGACGATGACGATGGCAATCCACCCCGATAAAACTCTGGAACTGAGGAAGGAGAAGGGTGGTCGTATATTCCAATTCCCGGTACTCGCTATAAATAAACTAACGATGGCTTAAATTAATGAAATATGTTTTTTCATTTACGTAGATCAGGAATTTTCGCTATTGCTGATAATGCTGCAGGCTTATGCGTAGTTCTTAGTTGCTGTCCTTGTAAGCCCAAGGCCTAGTTACCAGGAGAAACATGTAAACTTTGAGGATTATGTAGGCCTAAGAAGTATGGATGGCTGTGCGCATGATTCTTGGTGCACAGGCTAACTTGTCTAGATCCGGTACCCGCGTGTTTGTTCATATTAATTCGATTCGCATTCACAATTTACACAAACAAAAAAAACAACCCAACCAACACAACAAAAAACAAAAAGACAAACAAACACCCCCAACAACCCAACAAACAGAGTATTCAGTTAGTAGCGTCACGAAAGTGTGACATGCGTAGACAAGGCAGATAAATTTCGGTTTCCCTCTGCTTTCCCCGCCTCATTTGTTCCTACTCTTACACAAACCTCATGTAACGTGTCTCTATGAAATATTTTCCCACTTTTTTATCCGTAATTTCCCAACATTTACGAATAATAGTTTAGTATTTCCCGGAAAAATCGTGAATCAATTAGTTTGTTTGTTCGCCCCCGTCTTATGGCATGTCTAACTTGCCGGGGTCTATTTGCAAAGGTAGTGAAAATATAAAACGTCCTTACTGATTGGAGCCTACTACTCCATGAGGCAGTCACACTGGGCGCGGCCAACCAAACCTTATGTATCAAAGAGCGCCTCTGAAGAACTATTTTCTCTGATTTTATCTGTTCAAATAAATATGGTCGAAGCATTCAAATTGAATGCAGTGTTATTTGTTTTCATACCTCAACTATAACGAGCTAAAAGGGCTTTTTTCTGTTCCGTGCCAAGATGTGAATTCTGAATGTAGATTGCGTCATTTGGAGAAAACGGAGATAACCAGGGGAACCCTCGCCCTGTGTTCGTAATGGATAAACCTTTGCCGTGTGCGTGCAACCAATGACCACACGTGCCTGTATACATTATTTTGTTTGGCAGGCACGAGGGTTTATCCATTACAAACACAGCAAGAGAGCGAGGTTTCCCTCGTTTTCTCCAAGTGAATAAATCTACATTCGGAATTCGCATCTTGGCATTGAAGGAAAAAACCTTTTAGCTTGATAATTAT